TAAAAAAAAAAAAAAAAAAAAAAAAAACCTGTTCCCATGATAAGAAACCAACTTCTATGTATTAGTTGAAGTAACTTCAGCTGGTTGTCTTAGGGATCGCACATTAAGAAAGCCACAGGCCTTCGCCCATTAAAAAAGAGAAGCTTCCAGTGTCAAATAGGCAGAGCATGATGCGGGAGAGTAAACTGCATGATTTATTCAAAGTTCTTTCCAATAACTTAATTATGAAAAATCAATTGCTTAAGCAGTTCTCTTAGGCAGCTCAAATTTTAATACGAGGAGCAAATGAATCAGATATCCTAAGCAATATAATCAACTGGCTAGTCTTTGAATCTCCTCAGATAAAAAGGGTTATAAAGTAGAAAAATTTTTTAAATTATTTTTTTAAAATAGGGTATCTGTCAACAGTAGATAAAGTGAACTGGATACATGGCAATTACCCAAGTAATTAGATGAGTCTAAAAGTCAAATCAAATAACCCAGATTATAATACCCACTAAGTGGCTTAATTATCTGATTACCTTTATAAAAGTAATAGGTTAATTCCTAAAATCCATTGCTTAGAAAACCTTTAGGCAATCTAAATTTCTTAGGGATGGAGACTTCACTCTATTGTCAAAATCTAACTGAACAAAAATTATAAATTTCATCATCCACCTACATGGAAAAAAAATAAGCCATTCAGAAGGAATAAAAATGTACAAGAAAAATAAGACGCTGAAGCAATAAAAAAAAAGGCAGTTTACATAATATACCATAAAGCAAGAAAAGATACAATTTGTTACATGTTTTACATATATTATGTTTTTCAATCCTTATAACCAGCTTATGACATAGATCCTATAACCCCATTTTACAGATAAAGATTGTGAAACTTAGAATTTAAATAACAAAGCTCATTTAGCTAATTATGTGGCTGACACTATCAGAATCTTGAAGAGTTTTTCTTTCTCAAAAATTTCAGCACTCTATTTCCATCATATCTAATCCAGATGAACATTTGGAGAATCTTAGAGAAGATAAAACCCTTGGCATTCATTTAATTCCTTATTTTACCAAAGAGGAAATTGGCCCCAAAGAGATTAACTGACTTGTTCAAGGTCACATAGAACTAAAACTAAAAACCGAATCTCCTTTCCGTATTTCACTAAACCTCACTGCAACATTTTTGTTAAACTAAACTCAGATAGATATGTTGGCACACTGCACTTAATTAAACCTAAACCAACTAAAATCTAAGTATTTTTCCAACAAGAGGTGAACTGTCCAAATCTCACCACTGAGGATGGACTAGAACAGTTTTGGCTCAGATACTTGTCAAGTGGCCACTAAAAGGGATTGGATTCCAAGAAGTCAATATTAGGGGGCAGGAATTTCTATTCAAGACAGGCCAGAACACCAAGCATCAGCAAGGCAAGCCAAGAGACGGCCAGTTAGGGAGGTCGGATGTTCAAACACCTGAGTGACTAAGTACAAACACAAAGTCTAAAGGGCCACGGACAGGTTCAAGGTCCCAGAGACAGGATCAGAGCAAAAGCAAATTAGAAATGAGAGGTGGGGTGGCTGACTTTCCAGGTGGGTGCTTGCACAACCCTGTCCCAGGGTGCAGCGGATGTGGTCCTGGAGTGGCTTTGGGGGGCTGGGGAGAAGGGGCAGGCTAAGCACCTAGAAAAGGAGCAGACTGAAGCAGTACTCTCTGAGGAGAGTTCTCAGCTATACAAAAGCAGTCTCATTTACAGGAAGGACCAGCTTCTGAACAAGTGATTACACAAAAATCCATATTTACAGCTTACAGTATAAATAATTTAAGGGAGGTGAACAGTCCTGTTTATTCAATATCTTAACATTATCCAGTTTTAAAATAAGAAAACTAGGACACAGGGAGTGTGGTTTTTCACTTCAAGTTACAAAGCCCATTACTACAAAAAGTATACAAAGCTAGACCTTCTAAGTCTACCACTTTTACATTTATTGGCCATCCTGATAGACTAAAACCTGAAACCATCTTCCTTGAAGCTATACATGAATTTCTACAAAATGCGTACAGACTGCAGAAATACTTCTAAGTCCCCTACCCCAGTTGACAAAGGCTTCTGCCAAACCACCGGCAGTTTATCATCTTGAGATGCTGAGGACCAAGCATCATATAAAACTACAGCCACTATGCTTAATGCTTTTAATCCTTATTTCACATATGTGCTCAAATTCATTTTAATGATAAACACACACACACACACAATTTTATGTAATAAAGACAGCTTACCTTTAAATCACTTCCTGGTAACGTACCTACTCCATCCTTCCAATCCATAACACTGAATACATCAAACTCTTGACCACTTGTGCTAGAGGCAGATTCAGTCATGATTTTTCTTTAACCTGGAAAAGGAAAAAAAGGCATATCACTAAATATTCTACATGCAAATCAGTTTTTATTTTAGTGATCATTGCTTCAATTTCCCTTAATTACATAATTTTCTTGATCATAATATCCCATATCCAGAGATTTAGAAATAATTGCTTCAAAAATATTTTTCCTAGTGCAATCCATGGTAAATTACAGGAGAAAATATATTAATAAAAGTTCTAGGTTAAACAAAAAGTCCCATGGTAAATTTTTGCTATTGTTAGAAGAGGAATTCATTGTTTTCATAGCATATTCACTTAGAACAAAAAATCATGATGACATATGGACAGAATTCTTCACCCTCTAAGGAGTTCCCCCCACCCCAAGACATTCAAAAGAGAGTAGATGTGGATAAAGGATAGTATCCAGTATAAAAATGTTGAAAAAGAGGCCATTTAGATTAAAAAAAGGGACAAGAAAATTCAGTCCATTATTGAATGCCATCTACACTAAATTTGACAGGTAAGTCTGTTCTATCAATACAATGAATATACAGTATGATTGATTCTTTCGTGAAACTGATTTATTTAACTCAGTTGAAATATCTGCCAAGTTGATGTTCTGAGAAACAGGAAAACAGTCTCAAAATGTACAGCAAACACAATTAGGCTATGTTAAGATAACCAATTTGGCTAGCTACACTGTGATAATGCTCTTAATTTTCATTTTCAAAGCAAGCTTTTTCGTAATCATATATCCATTGGCGGTAGTATTGATATTGTTATTCTGAAACTGCTGTGTGGTATGGGATAAAACAAATAAATAATTATGTTGGTGTCACTGACAAGTGATCGAAGATCAATGGGTCCTAAATCTGAATGGAAGTATCTGTATAATTTCATGATGCATTTTTTATGTTTAAAAAATATGCATATTTTCTAGCTTTGCCCACTGACAAACTCTAGAAACAACCATCAGTCAATAGTAATTAACAGCCTAGTATTCAGATTGTGGTCTCTAAATACCATTTCTCCCAGGCCTTCCCAGAGGTGGCAGGAAATGTGCAAGGTGAGCCTGGAACATCTTGTTAAAAAAAAAAGCAAGGAAGCTATCAAAGACAGCAGAGGTCATACCAAAGGGACTCAGAAGCAAACTTGAAGAGGCTTCTGTTGGCCAAAGTCAGGATATTAGCTGCAGTGAGTTGAAACACATCAAATAAGTTTAAATCATTATGAGTTCACAACGATATTCAAAACAAACCAACCAACCAAGAACACCTCACTGATCACCTTTTGATTATACAAGGGAACCAACCAACTTATTATTTGGAAAAATAAACAAGGACTTATCCTGCCCATATTGCATGAGATCGATAAAAACTGTATCTCAGGGTAACCAAATCATTGGTGAGAAGTTTCCTTTCAGAAAAAAATTCTTGCTAATAAACAGAGAAGGAATGATAGAACTGAAACATAGCCATTTGCAACCATTAAAATAATGACTCTAACAACGATCATCAATGCCTTCTAAGAATACCTACCAACCCAACACCATCTATGAAGTTTTTTTTTTTTTTTTTTTTTCTTTTGCGGTACGCGGGCCTCCCACCGCTGCGGCCTCTCCCGCTGCGGAGCACAGGCTCCGGACGCGCAGGCCCAGCGGCCATGGCCCACGGGCCCAGCCGCTCCGCGGCACGCGGGATCCCCCCAGACCGGGGCACAAACCCGCGCCCCCCGCACCGGCAGGCAGACCCCCAACCACTGCGCCACCAGGGAAGCCCTATGAAGTATTCTTGCCAGGAAAAAACTAAATCAAATCTGTTGTGATCAAGTCTATTTACAGGAAATACCAGAGACAAAGGAACATGTGAAATCACACCATAAAGACATAAGAAGCAAAACATGGATTGTACTGGGAACCCTGAGACCTTTCCAAAAGGTCCAAGAAGTCAAAATTACTTTCATAAAAATATTAACACGTTATTTGCCTTCCTCACTATGTTGACATTTACACTGATGGTGCAAAGCAATAGTGGATAAAACTGCTGAAGCTGTGGCACCCAGCTGCAGTAGTAGTCATTTTATTCTTCAGCAGCATGCACTCACAGTAAACAAACGTCAGATTCACTAAAAAAACACCTTTGATGAAGTAAAATAATAAATTTTATTAAGTCGATATTTGAATATATATCTTTTTAATATTCTGTGTGATGAAACAGAAGTATGCACAAAGTACTCGGGCATGCCAAAATACCAAGGCCGTCTCAAGGGAAAGCACTTGTGAATTGTTTGAGATGCAAGCTGAACAAGCTGCTTTTTTTTTTTTTTTAATGGAATCCCACTTTTACTTAAAAAACGATGTTTATTCAAGTTTGGATATTTGGAAAATACTCTGTCACACTGACAGCATTCGTTACTAATGATACAATTTCAGCATTTTGGAAAACCTGTATCCACCACCATGAGCCTGACAGCTTCCCAAAAGCTATAGACTTTTCTAAGGAGATGGGTGGAGATATTCATGAATATGATTTTTAAAAATATTTCATAATGAAATATGTCAACATCTGGAAGATCTACATAACTCAGTGAAGTGATTTTTCCAAATGACCAATGCTTACAGTTACAAAATTAAGCATGGCTAAAGGTTCCATTCAAAGTGCAACACAGACTGATGGATTTTAATGTGACAGAGTACAGAAAGCTCACTGATAGGATTTCAAATTGCACACTGCAACTAACCTTTAAGAAACTACCACATGTCAAGTTTTGGTGTAATATTAAAGAAGAGTGTCCATCATTAAATGAAAAACTTAATCCTCCCTTTTCCAACCCCATACCAGTGTGAAGCAGATTTTCTTCATATGCGTCAACCAAAACAAAATATTGCAACAGACTGAATGAAAAGCAGGTATTAGAATCCAGCTCTCTACTATTAAGCAGACATTAAAGAGATTTTCAAAAATGTAAAACAGTGGTACTTCTCTCACCTTTTCTTTTAAATTTTGGAAACTGTGATTATAGTTCATAAAAGTTGTGCTTATACATACTAAGGTAATCAGTTTACTATAAGTCATAATAACCAATATACTTTAATTTCTAAGGCAGTAAATATTGATACATATAACACAAACAATAGCTCTTTGGGTTTTTCATTTTTTAGAGCATAAAAGAGACTTGAGACCAAAAAGTCTGAAAGCCACTGCTATACAGGATTAAAAACTTGTTTTCGGCACCCACAAAAAATTGTAAGGAATAACTAATAAACAAATGAAAGAGGAAATTTGAAATTTAGATTAAGAGACATATTAACCAATCGCAATACTGCATTTCATAGATCTTGTTTGAACACTGATTTAAATTATTTAAGGAAAAAAAAAAGATTATTAGGGACTTCCCTGGCAGTCCAGTGGTTAAGGCTTCGCCTTCCAATGCAGGGTGTGTGGGTTTGATCCCTGCTTGGGGAGCTAAGATCCCACATGCCTCGGGGCCAAAAACCCAAAACATAAAACAGAAGCAATACTGTAACATATTCAATAAAGACTTTAAAAAATAGTCCACATCAGGCTTCCCTGGTGGCGCAGTGGTTAAGAATCCGCCTGCCAACGCAGGGGACACGGGTTCGAGCCCTGGTCCAGGAAGATCCCACATGCCGCAGAGCAACTAAGCCCGTGTGCCACAACTACTGAGCCTGCACTCTAGAGCCCGCGAGGCACAACTACTGAAGCCCGCACATCTAGAGCCTGTGCTCTGCAACAAGAGAAGACACCGCAATGAGAAGCCCACGCACTGCAACGAAGAGCAGCCCCCGCTCACCACAACTAGAGAAAGCCCATGCGCAGCAACAAAGACCCAACGCAGCCAAAAATAAAAATAAAGAAAGAAAATAAAGAAAAGTTTTTAAAAAATGGTCCACATCAAAAAATCTTAAAAAAAAAAAAAGAAAAAAGATGATTCGACAGGAGGAGAAACATGAGTACCAACTGACTATTTGATGATATTAGAGAAATACCATTGCTTTTTTTTGAGGGATGATGATGATACATACTTTAAAGAGAGGAGGTCTTCCTCGTATTTTAGAGATACAAGCTGAAATTGTGAAATGAAGTGATATAAAGTGAGGAAGTTGCTACAAATTAATTAAGGGATAAAATGGTGAAATAAGACCGGCAACATGTTGGAACTGTGAGGATAAAGACGAGTGAAGGGTCCAGGGTGGTTATTACACTACATTCCACATTTAATAGTCAATAGGAAAAAACAAAACAAAACCCTGTGTTTCTTTGAATTATAGCTATCTTCTGTTGGAGTTTACTAGATGCTTCAATATTCTTTCTTCCTTTATCATTAAGACTTAATCCTCAAAACAGGAAATAGGTTGTAAAGGCCTGAGGAAGAATTAATCTAAGAAATAGTAAAAATATGAAATAAATTAAGACTCATACTGAAGTTCTCTATGACTCCTACCTCACTAAATACATAAAGATCAGCAACAAACCTGACTTTCTAAGGTAGGAGTGGCAGCTTTTCCTGATAGATAGTAGAGTAATAGAATAATTTTCCCCCTGGTGGATAAACCAGGTAAAACCTGAGTGATCCTTTAATAAGAAAAATTTTTCCTTTATTAATTCAATCGCATCTTCTTCCAGAAAAGCATTCAAAACATCAGAAAACTTACACAAACTATTTCATTTATTTGTTTCTCACAGAAAGATGGGTTCTATCATCCCTCTAGTCGACACTGAAAAAAAGTGCAGAGTTCAGTAACTCACCCGAAACCACACTTGGTGGCATACCCAGGATTTTAACCCAGGTCAGTCTGATTCCAACCCTGGGCTTTTTTCTCAACCACTGTCTTGTGCTGTCTCAAAGTCTTACCCGCTCTGAGAATCTGGCTAAGCCTACTTTTCCCCATTTTACTCCTTGGAACACAGCAAGTCCAGAAACCAGTTTACTAGGTCCAAAGTTCTCGATTTATGTAGATCAGTACAACATGTATCCTTTTTAGTAAAGTGCCATCAAATATATGCTTATT